CTTGTTCTATTTTTTATCATGTTGTTCCCCAAAGCCTCCTTTGAGATTGGCTATTGAATGAGTATGGTTGACAGCTCCACAGTTTACCGGCATGACGTGATTAATGACATTCAAACTATTCGATAGGAATCTGGCAGTTTATTCAGCATATTGGAGAAGCCACGATGGGTGTGATGTGACCGTGTGGAATGCGTTGATGTGGAATGCGCAATACCGGCCAGCGAGGACAATGTTGGTGCTCAGAACCGCTTGAAGGTTCCTGACTAAGACACCGTAATCTATATCAGAAAACCAAGAATGGGTGCATCAACATATCTGGTGATATCTGGTCTTGAATACCGCTGTGTGAGCTCAGCGTAAAATGCCAGATGTGACGTTATGGCTGGTGTTTATAGTTCATGTGCTACAGGATAGTCTCACGTGCGCCATTCTCCCGGCAGTTGTACAAGCACACTTGGTGTTGATGGAGTTGAAATGAGTAGCCCGCAAACAAGGTTCTCACTCTATTTCAAGCTCGTTGTCCTGTCGTTCACTAGGAAGGGGTGGGACGCGTCGACGTAATGGGGAATATTCCAAAAGACCCGAAACGCTTCCAGACCTTTGAAGACGACAAACTGTCAAAACGTGGAGGTGTTTCCTAGGTCAAGGCCTGTTTGTCACAGAAGCACTAAATGCACTAACCAGTTCAGTGAGTTATTATGTGGATTCGAAGGCAAACCTACCTCTCCAGATTGTAATTTGGATGAGCTCGAATCCCCTCTTCCATGATCACATCAAAGCGTTGAGATGCAACTTGTGGCAGAACCTCAAGCAAACGAACATTATTCTCTTCTCTATTTCTAGTTCTTCTCACATTTCCTCTTTTATTAGGATTCATTCTCTTTGTATAATATAACAAGCAGCTCCAGAAGTGACGTAGAAAGAAACCTAGATCCATTCTGAAGCTTAGTAAGGAAACTAATTGCTAGGGATCTGAGCCCACAGATATTTGGAGGTACACTTCATAACAAAATTGGATAAGCAGACTATGTGGTAGAAAGGAACATAGATATCCTACGAGTTGGTTTTTGGCGTTATCAGGGCGGATCCTAGTTTCATAGCTGGGCAGTAGGATTTCTAAGCCCACAAACTGATCCCACTCAACACTGGTTGCTGGTCGGCTATATGTATATCAGGGCCTCTAGAGCCAGACTTTCTTCCCGGTTCAATTATTGCATAACTACTTTCATGTTGAATATCATTATGACCTCTTGATTTCAAATGGCCGTGAAGGTCGAAGAGAAGTTGAGCTTAATTTCTGATATCTGGAAAATAATATTCACGATTCGCACGCTGCTTCACTGATTGTATTTCAAGAATCGACGGAAAAGTGAAATGATCCAAACTCACCACTAGCATTATTGGCCAAATCGCTACCATGACGAAGCTCAAAATAAGTTCTGCCTTGTTCATCTCTCTGGTTTTCAGCATTCGGTAGCGATAGAACATTGTATGGACTATCAGAAGCTCCAGATAAGAGATCAACGCGTTTAAGATATTATAGGAAATGACGCATGTCCTAGGTCCAAACATACTAGCTGGCCCTTCCGAGAGGATTGCATTTGTCGAACTGTTCGCCATCATTCTGAACACGGTTCTTCTTCCTTACACTCAAGTATTTATTTTGACTTTTCTCTCTAATGTCTTCAAATTCCAGAGGTCACTAACCTTCCCTGTAAAAACGCTGCCGTCAGTGCTATTAGGATCTGCACCACGCATATGTTTATCAGCATGGCCTTCAGGCTTCGAACAATATGAGGACTCCTGGAAATAAGAGTTCAGGTAATTGTTATAACCAGAATACGGTAGTTTTCTTAAGGAATCTAGTGAAAGTTGTTACAAGAATTCTTGAAGAACCGGCCACTCATATGATTGGTTTGAAATACAAACACAATTTCGGCTCTATCAGTTAACCCTAGAAAAACGTGAACTATGCAGGACGTTTGACGTTTCATGTTTCTCTTCGGAGAAAGGTCGAATTCTTCCTGCTGGAAAGCTCCTTTTATTCGAAATAACCAAGCTTTTAGAAGAAGCTTACCTATATCTCATGAGAAATATCAATAATACATTGAGTAACACTGTCACTGTAGCGAATACAGCGTAGTAGCAGTTGACAATGAGCGGGTCGAAATACACGAAATTCATATTTCAAAAGGATCTGAAAGTTTCCTGATTTTGCATGACTTCATCTTTTTTTCCTATTGATTTGCAAGTGCTTTTCATCCAATTTTCGACGCGAGTTTTTTTTTTCGAATGAAGCAATTCCTTTACCAAATGAACAACACATTACAAGTGGCTCTTTGTGTCAACAGAGCAGGATTCAAAAAAGATTCCATAATCATTGAGAATTAAATTCTTGTAAAACCACAGGAAACTGTAGAGTTTGTACAGAGCGGACATTGTGGCCGTGTTTTATTTGATATGTCTAGCCTAGAAAGCTTACCAATTTCTCATTGATATTGAGATCCTTAAAAGTATGTCGCCAGGAATGCTTTTCTTTTTCGCGAAGTCTCGCCGAATTTTTTCGTCTTTTTTTCAACTGATAGCTGGATTATTTCCAAATTTTTGAGGTAATCAATCAAATTATTGGCTAGTTTTACATTTTGGCAACATCGCGCTCAAGACTCAATGTGATGAAAGAACTTGGCTGTAAAGAAATGCTAAATTCTCCGTCTAGCAGATAGGTTCAGGGAGTAGCAGGGATCCATCCAAGATGTTGAATTTGTTTTGAGAATGGATAGCGAACAACTATACATAGCTAATATATAGTTGTAGCTATGCATAGGTAGTATATTGCTACAGCTGTGGAGAATGGTTAGAATTGCTATTGATGAGGGGTTTTTGCGATCACACTAGGTGAATGACGAGCGAGAGGTCTGGGGAAGACTTTGTTTAGTCAGAACTGATAGCATCGAGATAAGTTAAACGACTTCTACATCCTCTGACAAGTAGAGCTATTCCCTTTTTTCTCTTACTTTTAGTGGTAAATGTGTCCAGTAATTAGAAAGCCTTTCGAAATTCTGAATTCTACGTAGGAACTGACAGCATAAGCTACGCAATTGCTGCAGGAATGTTTCAGATGGTAGGCATAGGGTAAGACAGGATTGGCAGATTCGACAAATTTCCTTCTACCGTTAGCTTAGGAAGTAGCGATAGACATTAGCATGAGCTATGTAGGGTGGAAAGGGAGCAACAGGCAGCTGCCTTTGGCTGTTTTGTTGGATTGTCGTGATACACTCTTTTACTACATTTCGTGTCGAGTTGTCGAGTAATTCCCGGAACTCCTAAACTTGTTTATGGAAATTGTTTTGACGTTTGAGCTATTTGTGTTCAAATTATGATGAAAGGCTATCGTCCGATCACAGTTTGTAGCTGCCTTTTACCGTCTCGTCGAGACTTTAAGGCAACATTTACATTTGCTACACAATGGAAAAGTAGTTGACAACACAATCTCGTGATACTGTAATCATCTTTCAAAGCTGCACATATTAAAAATTAGGCTCCTGGTCCTGGTGAACTGGACCGGTCGTTTGCTAGATTAGCAGAACCAGGGGACACAAACTAATCTACGTGTTGACTAATGAAGAGCTAGAGAACAAAACTGGTCTGCTCGTAATTTGTATCCGGGTTTTGAACTCCACACTTATATCCAGCATTCCATATAGCTAGGGTCTTATTCAGGTCGCTAAATTCCAGTAGCAAGTTGAAATCATACATTCATATGGGAAATAGTTCATTTTCAAAGCTTTTTGGAATTCACTTACCTATGAAAATGACACATGTCTGCCTGTATGTTAATTGAAAAATGAAGAAACCTCCTTATTCGAATTTTACTAGTGATTTACTCTTTCGAGTGGTGTAGGAAGCATTGCTCTAACAGTAATATCTTGCAATTAGACCGGTAGAGTATCCGAAGGAGAAATGATTCTTCCATTTTTTTGAGTTCGTGGACATCAGAGCTCGTTTAGTCTATGTAACTTAAGAAATAGCACGTAATCAATTGAGTGCTGGAACAGTGATAGACAGACCATCGCAAGAAGCCCATAAACACCAATACGTCCTCCTCTTGCCTATCCTCGCAATCGCGATTGTAGAACCATTTCATTAAGTGGTATACATAGATCGATTGCTTAGAATTGAAATTACTTACTGACGGGTTAGTTGTTTTCCAGTGCATGGGTCTTAAATCGATATATACGTTGAATCTTTCCTCACTCTTGCCCGGGTAACGGAACTTCTCCCCGATTGCGGCATTCTCCCTTGCGGCATGCGGCAAATGTCACTGCAACTACTTTAATCCCCCCGCCTCCTCGCCAATCGATAGGACGCGGAATTTTTCGTTGATTGCCCTTCTTTTTTATTAGATTTGATCGCTTTTCCCTATTTCTTTTTCATTTTTATGTTTATTAGACTTGATTAATTAGAACGACTCGTCCTATGTAAGCGACGATCAAGACCGCATTGAAATTGAAGAGAGCGGTCAGCCAATTCAAATAATTAAAGGACTCCCCACCTTACTAATTGCGCGCTCCAATCTGCCATCACAACCCTGCGATACTAGGCGGGTGCGGCGTGCGCGACGCCGTCTTCAGGGAGAAGTTCTCGGACCCCACTTGCCCCCATCCCCATGGCAGTTGAGATGAAAAGTGTGATTGGAAGGCACAATGAGCTTATTCATTTGTACCTTCCAATCATACTATACTGTCTCTCGTAAGACACCTGCACAATCAGTCGTGGACTCACGATTTTCTGGCATTCTAAACGGTGCTTGCAATTATTGGAACATTTTGCGATCGGGAACATCTTAAACCCCGCCCTGTTTTGGGTGTTAACTGTTGGTACGGTTTGAGAGTTCTTAAGTGGACGCTTTGAATAAAATATGGGAATAGGCGAGGCGATTTACAGAGCTCATTGTCAAACAGGCTGCTTGAATGGGAACTAACAATTGGAATTCTCCCAATTCTCTTCTATACTTGAATATGGTGAATTTAGAGAATGAAAGTCGTTTTTGGGTTGCTCTTAACCATCTCATGGACTCGGAATCGTAGAAGAGAACAATGGTATGAGAAAATGGAAATATTCTAGGATCTACTCATGAGCATCGTTGAGATATCACAGGTTTGAGGAAGGACAAGTTTATTCTGCATCCACTTTTGGTCTCAGCCGCTTCGATCATAAAAGGCTATTTGGGCAGACCGATTTTGCAGTTATTTTTGAATTCAGTGCATATTATTCTGGGATTGCATAAGATTTAACATCAAAATGAACATTTATTCACAACTAGAAATAAATGATGAAACACTGAAGGATAGCTGCTAATGCTAAAATATCCAGTATCCTAAAATATCCACAACGGCTCAATCAGAAATCTAGTGAAATGAAGAAGAAATGAGATTTACTTTTGTGAGGTTTCAAAGTCGGTCTATGTAGTGGATATTCATTTGCTAGGCTTATAGGGATAGACTTTCCAAATAAAATGGAGGGAGCACTGTCTGAACTACGCATTCGGGTCCTTTTATCATTCTGGGCATGTCTCTATCTAACTCGATATCATTGAAGCATCAAATTACGCATCCTTTCTTCTTGGCATGTAGCTCATAGGTACCACATGAAGCAAGCAATTCCGCACTAATTGGCTATGAATGGTTTCTTGTTGGTGGATAAAGTGCTGGAAGTCGTAAGAACTGCGGTAGGTTAGAAAGTTCTGAGCCAGAGCAACTGAGTCAAGGCACTCTGACAAGACAATGCACAACTGTTTTCATCATTCCTGAATATGTATGCTACCATGTTATCCTTTTACTCTGTTTCTAGAGTACTTGAGAACATCGTAATGTGCTGATCGCTTGGTGGAGGAATTTCATGAGTTGCCAACTGATAACTTTGTGATACTTAGAGATCAAGTAGTAATTCCATGTAGTTCTAATTGTGGACAACTCTAGTGAGTGCGGTGATCGATCTAACTTTGAAATTGAAAACAGGTTCATGTGAATTTATTATCGTGCTTTGCCTCACTACTTTAGTTAGAAGAAGGCGTTTGAGAAACTTTTCCTTAAACCATTTCCTGTAGGATGGAACAAAATAAATCGTGATCAGAGGATCTATCACACTTGGTAATGCTCCAAAGCAAAGCATGAGATATTCGATGAAGACAATCTCCGTTTTAAATGTTTGTACAAAAGCAGACATCAAAATTGTTGGCAAGTAGCAAAGGATCGGAACGATTGCTTGCAGTGTGAAAGCCTGAAAAAGGTGGCTTATTTGTCATTCATGATCATGACCGAAAATCCAAAATTTTACGTCCTGGCAGTCAAAAAATCAGCTATCCGGAAGTGTATAGTCACTAATGGAGAGGACGCCTAGTTCTTGCTTTCCCTTCCATATATGAACTCCATCATTCTCATTCTAAAGGAAAACATTAGTTTGGGGGCTTCTATTGTTTAAAGGCGCAGTTCAGGATAATTTTGGGATACCTAGTTTCAGACGGATAATGGAACTGATAGTCTAGATAGTGCAAAAGTGGCGAAGAAAACACGGGAATCGTCCTAGTGTTCCAGTGGCGTGGGTGATTTCGTCTCCAGGGTAATGCGTGACTCGAAAAAGTGATATCTTTTATCAATGATTCATTGCTTCCCGGAACTCCTTATGCAGTGAACAAAACGGCTCAGTTATGTGCATAGACTGCTCTCGCAACCAATAATCAACAACCTAAATCGATTTCGATCAGTCGCGGTTGAGCATACGACTTCGAAAATGTCGACTTCTAGTGTTCCTTAGAAACAACAGTTTCTATTTTTCGATATCACAGCACCGAAGCTCTCATCTCATCTCCTTCATTCCTGAATGTTTTCTCTGCTATTGAAGCGGTCATGTCATGGAATCTTTCTGTCGATCATAACTTTGCAATATCAAATGATATCTATGTATGTAGAGTAGTGAGCACATTCTCCATTGTACCACCTTTCTTACCTACACCCCGATGGCTCTACTTATGAGGCCTATTATAATTATAAGACTTATGAAAAGAAGTAAAATTAGTGGTTGGACGAGAATGTGACGACAAAAATGGCATGGTAGGGGTATTTGAACGAGCTGCTCAAATGTGCGCGCCACTGCATACAGCTGGCTGCAGTAAGCTGTCCACGTGCAATGTGTGCGTCCCGGTGCGAATGGTGCCACCTCTTTAGCTTTTACAGGCCTCAAATCTCGTCCGCAGCAATATAAGTTATGATTGGTAGCATAATCCCTAACTATACTGTGATATACTGACTGAATTTCCATGAATCACGCTTTCGTTGTGGACCTGATACTAGTACATCATGGTTTCCTCTTCATTTCTCGTGATGCGCATGCCATCCTTGGCTCACAGTTCTCTGCCATCAGGATTACACTGGGCTAAAAGGGTTGTAACACTAGAGAGCAACTCACCTTCAAAAACATTTTGGAGCTTTGCACCGTTCTTACTGTGTACTGCTGATAAGTGTTGAGCGTTTTTAAGATCAGACGCCTCAGGTAAAATATGAAAATCGGTGAAGCCATCACAATAGCGAGGCTCATCAGTGATATAATCGACGCTGACGCTTCGAAACCTCCGAATTGTCCATACCTGAACATGGGCAGTTTAGTGAGTGTTTATTTGAATTCAAGGCAAGCCTACCTTTCTAGGTTGTAGTGAGGGTGTTCACGAATTGCTTCATTCATAACAATGTCAAAGGGTGGAGAAGTAACAAACGGGAAAACCTGGAACGAACCAATTATTATTGCCCTATTTCTATCTATGATTTTCTATACGAACTAAGCCTATACAATACGTCAGCCACAATTTTTGTTCAATCCATGAAGACCTAATCGGCGAAGAAGCATTTTTTATTTAAGCCTCTACACTCTTCATGGCTTACACCAAAGCTCGCTTTTTCTTCATGTATTTGAAAGTTGGGTAAAAGCCCCACTTCTAACCGGGTAACGGGATTTTTCCCCGATCGCGGCATGCGGCAAATGTCACTGCAATTACCGTACTCATCCTGCCTCCCCGCCAATCGATAGGGCGCAATATTTTTCGTTGATTGCCTTGCGTTTTTATTGGATTTGATCGTTTTTTCTTCTGTTTCTTTTTCGTTTTCATGTTCATTAAACTTGATTAATCAAAATGACTCCTCCTATGTAAGCGACGATCAAGACTGCATTGAAATTGAAGAAAGTGGTCAGCCACTTCAAATAATTAAAGGACTCCCTACCTCACAAATTGCGCGCTCCAATCTTCTGTCGCAATCCTGCGATACGCGGCGGGTGCGGCGTGTGTGACGCCGTGTTAAGAGAGAAGTTCCCAGACCCCTTCTAACCTACTGTCGAAAACGACCGGGAAATATGGTTGTCCGAACTTACCAATGACAGCACTGGCCAAATCGCCACCATGGCAAAGCTCAGAACAAGTTCAGCCGCCTTCATCTGATCGGTTTGCAGTATTCGATAACGAATGAACATTGTATGAACTATAAGGAGCTCTACATACTACGAGCTGGACCATCTGAGAGGATTGCAACAGTCGAACTGTTCACCATCAATCTGGAATAGATCCGCCTTCAATATAATCTGTTGTTCAATCGAATGTCTTCATTTTTTCAAAATTACAGCGCTCACTGACCTTCCCTGAAGAAACGTCGCCGTCAGCGCTGTAAGAATCTGTACTACAGATATGTTGAACAACATGGCTTTCATACTCCAAGCAACGTGAGGACTTCTTGAAGTGAGCTATTAAGAATATATGTATGAATGTGACGAATGTTATAAATGTATAGGAATCGTGGTGATTAAGATTACTTGAAAACAAATAGTCTCATCTAGTTCATCTAGTTCAAGAAGTAATTTAAAGTTGGATAAGCCACTCTTGATGCGAGAATTTCTCTTAATCCTTCCTTCACCCTAAATTCTCTAAACCTCAGTACTGAGCTCTTCAACGTGAAGTGTACCGACTTTCTGCAAGATTCTAAATCTCCATAAAATTGTTTTATCCTTCCCTATGTGAGAATCTTTTTACTATCTTTTTTACTGTTGTCTGTCTATGGAATGAGTATGTTCCACAAAACATACTTGTATGTGATAAGATATATAAGTAATCCGTTCGAAGACAATGCAATGGTGATGAAAACAGCGTAACAGCAATTGACAATGAGCGGGTTCAAATCATACAAGTCCATCAAGAATCTGAAAGTTTCTGATTTTGCACGACTTCATCTTCCTTTATCAACTGTAAGTAATTCTCTGTAAACTTCTGAACTAGGCCTATAGCCGAAAGACAAGAATTGTGGATTCGAAGTGGAGACTTTCAGCACTTCTCGAAAAGTTTTGTGGAAGGCAAATGCAAGGAGCAAGACCTGTTATTCATCGAATTCTGGAAGTTGTTTACACAATGCGTTTTTGCGCATAAATTATGTACAAAATACAATGGATGCTAAACGCATGGCTGCAATTCACCATTGCGTTTTACCGTATCTGCAAAGCGACCATAAAAATATTGACATTTATGCCTCGACGAACGTTATTGCCAATGAAATCTTAGGAGTATTGCACAAGGCATGTACACCTTTCAGGCTACAGCAGTGGGAAATGAGGTCCCTGAATTGGATCCATGAACATTTCTAATTCGACCTGCCTGCAAAGCCATAAAACCATGGTCAATAGCAGGCCATTTCCTTGCGAATTGGAGCTCAAAGCGTTCACTTTTTCGTCAAACCACCACCTATTCAGGAACGCATGAGTAGAACCGCTCGGAAGAGGCTGATAATCTCTCAAAGCCGAAACCGGCTGCCGAAAATGAGAAGAATCAAGGTAGGCATCTGTACTTCAATCCATGAACCCTTGCATCTTAACGTGAGTCGAGGATCTGATGATGCAAACTAGGAAGATCAACTAAGACGTCGTCCGACCGACCAAGACGAGAAGGCACTGTCCGCTGCACGCTGGCTCCGAAACTGAAAGCTGTTTCATAGAACATGCGACAGCAGACCGTCATCGGTGCAGGTGTCCTTGTCAGCCATAATCACCGATTCGTTTGAAAGCTTGACAACCCGAACTGGAAGTTTCCGATTGAGAAGATGTGTTTCAACCACAGCGTTATCAGTATTTGCATAGAAGGTGAACTGGAGGGGAGCAGAGAAGACCGTCATCAATTGGGCCACTTCGCGTCTTTTGCGTGTTTCTGAGATGATCCCGTTATGGGCAACGCCACTAAAGAGTATAACCTGTTTGTCGAGCATCCTCGTGATAGTGCTCGGAAAGCAGAGTTCACAAGTTGCCGATAGACGTGCAGGAGAGGGTCTGGAGTTATGAGTTCCGTCAACAAACGAAGATCAGGGATACTTTTGCTTACGCTAAAAACCAGCTGGGCCGACTACGTTATGCGCTATTGTGATGACCAGGGCTGTTACTAAATGAACCCGTCGGGGACGTCAAATGCACGTCAAAGAGGCCGACGACGCGATGGTCAGGCTTCTTTACAGAAGCTCTCCCTCAGCTCTTCAAACAAGGGTGATCCATCCGCTGGACCAATCCGGCTCATGACAGAAACGAATGGTAACGTCACTGGCGCCCGCTAGAGGAAATCGATGACCAACGAAACGAGAGACGATTCTAATGATACCTATTCAGGGCGGAGGTCATACGTTCTACATCGAGTAATAATCTGGATTTCCTCAGTAGGCATGTCTTGCAATCACTTGTGTTACCTGTCGTGACAGTGATTAGCAATCTGCTCGATCATGTAACCAGTAACGTATCTATACTCTTGTCGCCACTCAATGCCGTTCAGCATATGCTCTTCGCCCCTTGGAATCGAAGCATATGATTCCTTCTGTACAGAGCCTCCATGAAGCCCGTACCGAATGGCAGCCCTTCAGATGTTCGTTCGAGGCTCCGAGTGAACTTGTGTCCGGGTGAGACAATTAGTACAAAATCGTTGACGTGTCCGGATCACCTGATCGCCTGTCCTCGGTGTGTGAAAGAAAGTCCCTGATCTTGATCTTGTGTACTAAATATTATCGTCGCCCTCGCCAACGTCATCCTTCGTCTTTCGCTTTGACGATGAATTACCCGACAGCCAGCCGCAATTCCAGCTTGCATCATAGCACGTCCCTACTTCCATCTACTGTTCCTTGCTAACGACGTAGCAGTCAACATCATTGACGCAAGGAACAACTGGGAGTTCAACGCGAGCCGACGTGGATGAAATGGAAGCCTCAGAGACTCGGTTGCCCTGGTGTAAGCTTGAGTAGGAATCATTTCCACCCGTAGATTTAATATATATACGGGTGGCTGAAAAGTATAGGACTGGCGCTTGGCGCTTGCTGGCACCCTGCCATTAGGTATTTTCAAAATCTTTTGGAATTTTCAGGAAGCGTGGGATCTGTGCAAAAATCCATATAAGTCATTTGATTGATCGTTTGCCCGAACAATCGCTGTGAAAGATTCTGCGCATAGACTCACTATCGAAAAAAAGGCTCGGAGAGGGCTTCAGGAGCTGCGACATCGCGAAACGACTCGGCGTTCCCTCTTCAACAGTACGGAATGTTGCTGCTTCTCCCAGGAATAAAGGACAAGCTTCTGAGATGCCAAAAAGGGTACGACCGAAAGCAGTGAACACACCGAGGATTCGTAACATCATCAGGAAGAGGATCACCCGCAACGATAGAGTCAGCATGAGGCAGATTGCTCTTGACCTCAACATCAGCCGTCAAACCGTCCAGAAAATTGTGAAACGCAACCCCAAGCTGAACATTCATCGGCTCCGTCGAGGACAGTTTCTTCCAGAGCAATCCAAGCAAAGACGACTGTCAAAATGCAAAAAACTTCTTCGGGAGCTCGGGCGCGCCGCATCTCTGGCGTGATCTGGACTGCTGAGAAATTTCTCACCATAGAGCACTATCCAAACCGTCAAAAACAAGACAAATGTTGACAAAAGCTGACAGCAGGTTCCCAAAACGTCGTCTTGTGCACAGGAGACTATCTTCTAAAAGTGTCATGGTTCAAGCCGGGGTGACATCAGAAAGCAAAACATCTTTGGTCCTCATGGACAGAAAAGTGAAAATCAAGTCTGAGGGACGGAGCCACATGAGCTGATTTTCATTATAGACCTTTATCGGATTTGTGGGTTTCCGCTCAAACCCCACCTCATGTGGGCGGAATCTGGTCCCCGCCCACTCACCATAAGTGTTCCCATCCTGTCGCCCGTACTCCTACCAAGTTTGAACTTTCTAGGTCAAGGGGGCGGGAGCTATACATTTCCGCTCAAACCCCGCCTACTGAAATCAGAAAAACCAAGGGGCATAGCCTAATCCGCGTGCTGACAAATGATGAGCTAGAAGACAAACATGGCATCAAGACATTCACGACTGAAATGGGAGAATCTGGTGGTAATTTGTCTTTGGATTCTGTTCTCCACCTAGGGTTCTTAAAGTGCAACGGCGAGCCAAAAACATACAGTTGTAGGGGAATATTTCGTTTTACAAAATTTTGTGGTAGTTCACTTAGCTACGAAAATGACACATGGATCAGCGTGTTAGTTGAAAAAAGGAATCTCCCTATTTACGATGCTAGTGCGCTATTATTACAGGCGGTATAGTGGGAAACTCCCTACCGTTAGTATCTTACAACCGTTGTTAGACCGGTGGAACATCCAAGATGTAGAAGGGGTTTTCAACGCTCTTCGGAACTCGTTGAGTCTAACTTCGGAAATGGGCCCAAATCATTCGCTGAGCTGAAACAGTGGAAGATAGACAATCGTAGGAAGCTCGTAGGTACTATACGCCCTCTTTTTGCCTTTCTTCACAGCCGTGATAGTAGGCCATCTCGTTGTGTGCTATCTATAGTCGGGATGCTTGGACTCACCGCTACGTCATTTGGTGTTTTCTTACGTATGAGACATAAAGATGTATATGTACGTTGAAGCTTCTCTCACACTTCCCTACATCATCGTAGCGGTTGAGCTTACTGTTCTGTACCTTCCAATCGCTCGCTCTATCCTTCTCCTGGTAAGACCTCTATCCTCTCCTAACATACCTGCACAATCGGTAGTGGAATCGTGGGTTTTCTGACATTACTAGTCTAGATACTGCAATTATTGGAACATTTTGCGATAAAGACCATCTTAAACTCTGCATGTATAAAGTATATACTGTTGGTACGGTTTGAGAACTCCAAAGGTTAGACGCTTCGGGTAAGATATGGGCATCGGCGAGGTGGTCACATTTTCAAAGCTCATTGTCACACAGCCTACTTGAATGGGATCTACCAATCGGAATTCTCCCAATTCTCCTTCATGCTTGATTATAATGGATTTAGACCATGACGGTCCGTTTGGGTTATTTCTCACCATCTTATGGACCCAGAACCATAGAACAGAACAGTGATATGGGAAAATAGGGGATAATTTCAAAAATAGTTAATCTACATCTTCTTCATCCTTGAGATATCACAAGTTGGCCAAATCAATTTTGCACTTTTTTTGAACCCAGCTCATATTCTTTTTGGATTGCATAAAATTTCACACAAAACGAACATTTATTTACAACTTCAAACAATTGATGAAACTTTGAAGGATAACTAACAATGCTATAGATATCCAACCAAGAGGCTGCACTAGAAATTTAGTAAAATAACGGAGAATCTATAGCTTCACACTTTAGCGAGGCTTCAAAGTCGGTCTATGCAATGCCGAATCATCTGACATGAATTAATGAAGATTCTTTGTTGTTTTTCAATTACTTGCTATTGTGTTCAATGCGGAAAGGACCTACATTATTTTCAGTACAAATTATACTATTCTCCATGGTCTGCAATCATTTCCATCTGTTGTGCAGATTGTTACGTTTTATTTTCCAGTATTCCTAGCTTTAACGAATTTCGCATTCAGATTGTTTTTCCTAGAACATTGTAAGGTCAAGGTAAGCGAAAGAAATTTGTTCCCTTTTTTCCTCTTTATCATAGTGTTTCAAACAATGGGTTGATCAATCCCGTCTGAGGGGTGCACCACCGCCTTCGACTTCAACCCTGAGTCACGGGTTTCGGGTCTTACCAGTTAGAGGACGCGGAATTTGGACCTGTTATAGTGCACCACTTGCCACTGTACCACCTCCGCTCTTTCATCATCACTGTGGAAATGCTTGATCTTCTGATCTTCAACTTGTAATCAATCCGAACCTTCCCGTTGAATTCATGAAATAAAGTTCCGGATTCATGTAGCACTTCAAAAAAAATCGTGAGTGCACTGTCTGGACTACGGATCCGGTTCCTTTTATCATTCTGTGTATGTCTCACTCCACATCTATGGAACTCCAAATTACGTATCCTTTCTCCTTGGCATGTAGTTCATAAGAACCACATGAAGCAAACAAGTCCACACTAATTGGCTATGAATGGTTTCTTGTTGGTAGATAGAGTGCTAGAAATCGTAAGAACTTTGGTAGGTTTAAAAGTTCTGGACCAGAAGCAGCTGAGGCAGGGCACTCAGACAATGCTGCATTAGCTGTTATGTGATGATCTCTTGATAATGGAATTTCTTGAGTTGTAAACTGATAACCTTGTGATACGTAGAGAACAAGTAGTAATCCCATGTAGTCCTAATGTTGGGCGATTGTAGCGGGTGCGTTGATCACTCTAACTTTGAGTACAGGATTCTGTGGATTTTTGATCGTGCTTAGCCTTAGTACTTTAGTTAGAATTGAGCGTTTGTGGTACTTTTCCGTAAGCCATTTTCTGTAGGATGGAACAAAATAAATCGTGATAAGAGGATCTATCACACTTGGTAATGCTCCAAAAGAAAGCATGAGATATTCGATGAAGACAACTTCCGTTTTAAATGTTCGTACAAAGGCAGCCATCAAACTTGTTGGCAAGTAGCAAAAGATTGGAAGGATTGCTTGCAGTGTAAGGGCCTGAAAAAGGTAGCTTTTTTGTCATTCATGTTCATGATCGGAAAATCGAAAAGTTTTGATCCTGGCAGTCACAAAACCAGAAATCAAGAAGTGTATAGGCACAAGTGGAGAGAACGCCTAATTCTTCTTTCTCTTTCATAAATAGACTCCATCATCCTCATTCAAAAAGCATTTCTTTAGGTATTTCTAATGCTTAAAGGCAGAGTTAACGATAATTTTATTGTATCTAGTCTTAGACGGATGCTGGAAGTGATAGTCCACATAATGCAAAAGTGGCAAAGAAACGCGGGAATCGGCGTAGTCAGAGAATTTTAAAACTCCGGAAGAGTAAGAAAAACTAGGCGTCGGAGAGGATGTGACGACAAAAGTTGCATGGAAGGGGTATCTGGACGAGCTTCTCGAATGTGTGCGCCATCGCGTACAGCTGACTACTGTAAGCTGACCACGTGCAACGCATGCGTCCCCGTGCGGATGGTGCGACCTCTACAGCTTTTACACGCCTAAGAAATAGTCCGCCTTGGGCGTGTACGGCGGCTACGTCGGTTTTAGGGCCCTTGTTACGCCCTTTCTTGGCCTTTTCTCGACCCGACAGCGTCCCCTAGGCTATTCTCGAAAGTCATAGTTTCATCCAAGAGAGGAATCTCAGAAATCATCATTAAATCACTATTGGTAGCATAATCTCTAACTGTCTCTCTTATTTATAAAGCAGTAACTTGGTGTGCCGGTTTGTATGTTTGTCCGTCTGTCCGTTCGGAAAACTATGATTACGAGAAAGGTAGTGATATGGGAAATTGAGCTCTTACATTTCCTTCTTATATGTAAAGCAATGAATTGGTGGGTAAGTTGATGGAGTAGAGCGGGTGCTGCGGAGTGAAGTGAGTAAGGTGAAGTTAGGTGGGTACTTCAAGACTGTGATTGCTGCGGAGTGAAGTGAGTAAAGTGAAGTTAGGTGGGTACTTCAAGACTGTGATTTCGATCTGTGGATCGTGCTATGTGCGTATGTGCAAAAACTAGAGGTGATAATGTAGTTAGGAGTCCTCCGCTTTTTTTTAACATGAAGCGCTAGAGCGGAAATAATGAGGCTGGCCCGTAATCGTGCACAGGAACGGTTCCTAGCCGGGATATACTTTTTTTGACCTATGCTCCTGGTGGAAAAGAGCATCGGATGGGTGAGTCAATAGAATATTCAAATCATACCCCATCCTAGCTTTTTGCACGAGGTATTCATGTAATCTCAACCTCACCGCTACTCCCCTTCTGAGGATTAGGTGAAAACAATATTCTTCCGCCTAGAACCGACCCGAAGCCCATGTAAGGTCGCACCCATCGTTCTCAATATAGTGTTGGATAAAAGTTATGCTTTCCACATAACTGCGTTTTATTACTACTTTGTAAAGTAAGGAGTGAGGCTCGGCGTAAGCCGTGCGAGCCGAGTGGTACTATGATATTCTGACTGAACTTCCATAAAACACGCTTCCCATGTGGTCAAGATACTGGTACGATCATCGTTTCCTCTTCATTTCTCGTGATGCACATGTACAAGCAAACCTCAGCTCACACTTTTCTGCCATCTTCTCCATCAGGAATGCATTGGGCATAAAAGGGTTGTAACATGGAAAAACAACTCGCCTTCAAAAACATCTTGGAGCTT